CAAATACGATCCCCTCCGACTGGTCTAAGTCACTGATCATCCCAGTCTTCAAGAAAGGCGAGAAGTCCTCTTGTGATAACCACAGAGGAATCAGCCTGACAAACATAGTGTCTAAGATCCTAAGTTCTATAATTCTCCGACGCCTGAGTGGAGCTCGGGAACAGCAAGCCCGAGAAAACCAGGCAGGCTTTAGACCTGGCCGTGGATGTATCGACCAAATATTCACACTGCGCCAGGTCCTGGAACATAGGCATGCTTACAGACGCCCGACAATAGCTGTATTTCTCGACCTGAAGGCGGCATTTGACTCCGTTGATCGAGAAGTCTTATGGCAGTGTCTGTCACTGAAAGGCGTGCCTAGTAAGTACATCACCTTATTGAAAGCTCTCTACTCGAACACTTGTGGGCATGTTAGAGCCTATGGTGAGTTGTCCAGGGAGCTATACTCATCAAGTGGTGTCCGTCAAGGATGCCCACTATCCCCATTCTTATTTAATTTTATCATAGATATTCTTATGGAGGTTTCCCTCTCGTCACCTAATTACAAAGACGTTGACCGGATCACAGGTGAATTTTCCTTAGATCTAGAATATGCAGATGACATAGTCCTGTTAGGTGAAGACGCTGACAAGATGCAGAGTCTTCTGAACACTTTGAGTGGGAATTTGAGAATGTTTGGGATGCGATTTTCACCACCCAAATGCAAATTTTTGCTCCAGGACTGGTCTTCAGCGGTACCGCGGTTAACAATAGAGAGTGAAGTGGTTGAGTGTGTTGACCACTTCACTTACCTGGGAAGTAGGATCAACCCGGTGGGTTAGTTGCCGATGAGATTTCTGCACGGATACAAAAGGCTCGATTGGCTTTTGCCAATTTGCGCCACCTATGGCGCCGCCGTGATATTCGTTTGTCTATTAAGGGTCGCGTGTACTGCACAGCAGTCCGCTCTGTTCTACTGTATGGCTGTGAAACATGGCCATTGAAAGTGGAAGACATGAGAAGGTTACAGGTGTTTGACCACCGTTGCCTTCGTAGTATAGGACGTATTCCGTGGTGTCACCATGTGAGTAATGCAGAAGTTAGGTGTAGAGTTTTAGGGAGAAGAGGTAAGTCAGTCGACGAGGTTGTGAACCTTCATCGACTGAGATGGTTGGGACACGTACTACGTATGCCTAGTCACCGATTGCCTCGTCACACAATGTTGGCTGAGGTGGGTTCAGGCTGGAAAAAGGCCCGAGGTGGCCAGACTAAAACATGGCACCAATGTATGAAGTCTCTGACTGTTGGTTTAAGCCATGTAGGACGATGCAGACTAGGTGGTTGGGGTCCACGGGACAAGAGGAACCAGTGGTTGGAGACCCTAGGTGATATGGCTCAGAACCGAAGTCAGTGGCGCAGATGTATACACACATTATCCTCATCTTAACAACGCTATACCGAATCTCACTATTTTGTCACTCCTCTTTCCTTTCTTCTCGTACTTTATATTTCTTTTGACTGCATTCACTTATCTTCATCCTTCACCTCACTACCTTTTTACTTGATGTGCTGATATGAGGTGTGGCAACTCGGACCGTTACGCAGTAATGCCTGGTCCTATGTTGATAATGATGATGATGATGATGATGATACGTATCCTTCCCCCACTTCCAGTTTTCATATATAATGCCTTAACAAGTAAATGTGTGATCAGATTGTTCGAAATGTATAGCGCTAATACATCACATATTGTTCAGATAATCTACGTCTTCTAATTACATTATCCAAATTCATAAATGGGACTAATTGTTTCAAATTCTACATATTTGGCTACGTTAAGTAACTAATCGTTTAAACTTAGTAATCCTCATTTGATTCATGTTAAACTTGAAATAATCTCGACTCATCATAGAACTACTTTGATCACTGCCTAATGAAGATATAACATTTTGAGTACTGTTTTTTTTATCATATTTGACAAACCACTGTCAGATAAGGAATAAAACGTACACCCTTACAAAACATGTATGCACTAGAAATTAAGAGTGAAGTCACTGTGAAGAATTCCCTTGCTGACGTACTTGTTCTACTTTCCTTCATATCAAAATAAGATCTACTTTTTGTTGTGCTTATGCACATATACAACTATAAAGACACTTATGACAATCACAGATATTGTTTTGATAGTAGTGATTTCCCGCTGCTACACGTGGCTGAATTGCTCGACATCTGTTGGGAGATAGGCTCCTATACGAATGCCTCAATACTTCCGGATGTTGACGATATTGTATTGATCTTAGTGACTAGCGGAGGAATCCAGTACGCACGTCTCGTCTTATTTGAGACTCGTCAGTTGGATGCACCTGCCTCCCAGTGAATGATGTTGTTCCCACTGAGACTTGAACCCAAAACCCATCACTTCAAATGCCGAAACGTCATCCACTGGATCACCAGAGCCACCTCTTATAAGTACCAAGACAATGCCTGTATCATTGGGAATAACACTATTCACTGAGGTCCACATACATTCAGCCAAAGAGTCTCAAATAGAACGAAACGTGCGTCTTGGATTCCACTACTAGATGAATATGACTTGGCAGATACAATATCAGTAGCCATTCCCAAGTACACAACATCTTTTCTACTTGGTGGATGAGTAGAACGAAACCAAGAAGGAGTGGTAGAATAGTGTGGCTTCATTTTACCAGGTACTGTAGCGCAACACAATTATCGAAAACGGATGAGACATCAGTTGATATGAATGATCAAGCTCAGATGAAGTCAATAAGCGTAACACGAAAGAATTGACAAAAACAATTATCTAATCACCCAATCACCCAAATTCCCTCATTCATTTTGTTTTTAGAAAGTCGGCCACCATTAAAATTGAACCCAGCATTGTCTATGCTAAAATCAATGTAACGAAAAAGATGTAAAACTTTGCGCAGAAGAGAGAAGCCAGCTGATGAGGTTGTGAATCTGAGGTGTGTAAAGCATGCCTAGTCACCATCTGCCTCATCACACAGCGCTAGCTGAAGTAGGTTCAGGCTAGCTCGAGGTGGCCGGAATTACACATTGTCACCACTGCACGGAATCCTTGACTGTTGAGCCGAGCTGTGTAAGAAGACGCAGACTAGCCAGTTGCGGTCCGCCGGACAAGAGAAACCAGTGATTGGAAACTAACTATAAATATCACACAGAACCGATGTCAACAACGTAAGTTTTAACTGCTATACTGAATTCAACATTTTCTCAACCCTCCCTTATACCACTTTGTACTGCTTTTGAAAGATTTTTCTTCATTTCTAGATCTTTAATTTTATTACATTGTTAGTTCATGTACTGATGAGAGGTGTGTCAACTTGAACCGTTACACAGTAGTGCCTAGTCATATTTTGATTTTCATGATGACGCCAAGATTACCACACAGTAAAAGAGTTAGCATCAAATCAACCAAGTCCAGCTTCTGGAACACAGGCAAGCTTGCCAACGCCCGATACTAGCTATATTTCCCAACCTGAAGGCGGAATTCGATTCGGCTGATCGAGAAGTATTATGGCAGTGTCTCTTACTGAAAGGCGTACCGAGTAAGTAAATCACCTTATTGAAGGCTCTCTATTTGAACACTTGTGGGCGTGTTGGAGCCTATGGTCAGATGTCTGAGTAGCTGGGCTCGTCGAGTGGTTTCCGTCAAGACTGCCCACTCTCTCCATTCTTATTCAATTTTATCATAGATATTATTATGGAGGTCTCCCTCTCGTTATCTGACTATACAGAAGTTGACCTAACCGCGGGAGAATTTTCGTTAGACCTAGAATATGCAGATAACATAGTCCTGTTAGGTGAAGACACTGACAAGATGCAGAGTCTTCTGGACACTTCGAGTGGCAATTCGAGAATGTTTGGGATGCGTTTCTCACCACCACCACCAAATGGAGATTGCTGCTCCAGGATTGGTCTTCAACGGTGCCTCGGCTAACAATAGAGAGTGAAGTGGTTGAGTGTATCGACCACTTCACCTGCCTGAGAAGTAGGATCAGCCCTGGTAGCCCAGTGGCCGATGAAATCTCTGCACGAATACAAAAGGCTTGACAGGCTTTCGCCAACTTACCCCACCTATGGCGCCACCGCGATATCCGATCGTCTACTAAGAGTGGCGTGTACTGCACAGCAGTCCTCTCTGTTCTACTGCATGGTTGTGAAACATGGCCATTGAAGTTGGATGATATGAGAAGACTTCAGGTGTTTGACGACCGTTGCCTTTGTAGTACAAGCCGTATTCCGTGGTGTCACCAAGTGAGTAAGGCAGACGTCAGGCGTAGAGTATTAGGGAAGAAGAAGAGGTGAGTCAGTTGACATGGTTGTGAACCATCATCGACTAAGATGGTTGGGATATGTGTACGTATGCCTAGTCGCCAATTGCCTCGTCACACAATGTTGGTCGAAGTAGATTCAGGCTGGTAAAAGGCTGTGGGCGGCTAGACTAAAACATGACATGAATGTATGAGGTCTGTGACTGTTGGTTTGAGATATGTAGGTAGATGGAGACTGGGTGGTCAGCGTCTGTGGGACAAGAGGAGCCAGTGGTTGGAGACTGACTCTAGGTGGGTGGTGATATGGCTGACAACCGATGTCAGTGACGCATATGTATCCACACACACACACACACACACACACACACACACACACACACACACACACACACACATATATATATATATATATATATATATATATATATATATATTATCCTCATGTTAACGATGCTATACCGAATCTCACCATTTTCTCATTCTTCCCTTGTCTCATTTCGTACTTTATATTTCTTTTGACTGAATTTTCTTATCTTCATCTCCCACTTGATATGGAGTGTGGCAACTCGGACCGTTACGCAGTAATTGGTGGGTGTTTATGTTGATTTGGATGGATGAATGAAAATCAATCAAGTCTCTAAAGATTATGAATTTTGTATAACAAAATCTGACGAACAAATATATACTCAAGGAAAGACTCTGACTTACCATTACGCTTAGCAATGGGACTATGCCAAACTCCGCAACTAATGCGAACAACCTTGACCAATCGTGAAAGACATATGAAACAAAGAAAACGTACGGTAGTCCATAACACGGTACACAATACCCACATCAAACTTGATAACCATTTATGCCATACAAACTGACTGATAAAGATTAAAATAAAAGTCATTTGAAAGAGAAAATAAAATGAGCATAAGAAAATACATAGTCTCATTGATATTTTATCCCACAGACAATGAGTTAAATGTATACTATTGACTAATGTTGGACAAAAAGTGAAAAAGTGAAATGCACAAAATAGGCTATAAGTGATTAGAATAGGCATATGAAGGATAAGACAAAATTTGGTTACAAGCTCTTTAGATAAATGATTTGAATTAGTTGCAATTGTATCCGGAAGGATATGAATAGCAAGGTAGTATAAATAACCAAATAGAAAGAATACAGATAAACCAATAAGGATGAAACGTTTTTCATTGATTAAAGCGAAGTGTATAATTAAAGATACATTGAATAGCATCAACAGTACCAATAAGGATGACGATGATGATACTGATGAATATGAATTGTTAATATGGAATATTAGTGAACCAATTGTAAATCCAAACCATAGAGCAATGCCTTCATAAGAATTTTCCTTCTTATCATGAACAGATTGATTGAAAAATTTACTCATTATCAGTAGTGTTAAGCATAAAACTGCACTGGTCACCATCAAAAAAGCCCCAGCAATCATTGTTGGTGATTTTACTGATAAATGTAGATATGTATAGTTGCCTTGTTGATGACTCACTCCCACTTCTACTGCTACTGCTACTACCAACAAGGAATTCATTAAAAGACCACAAACTAGAAATAACAGTAATGATGGCGTTCTACAGTTGATTCGACATTTAATAGGAAACTTAAACGACATACATGAAAACAACATTATAAATGCAATAGAGCATATACTCAAGTAGAGATGAACTGAAGAGATGAAACAATATGTGTAACCCGTATACAAATAACAGAATATCCCAGAAAGTAAAAGAAACGAAGTGAGTGATGAAAAAAAGTAGAAAGAACCTTTTTGAGAAGTAATCATCATTTCGTACACAATCAATCTGACTAAGGAAGATCAAACCAGTAAGCGACGACGTGAACTAGAAACGGAAGAAGACTCTAAAATAACGAAGAAGTGAGCAAAAAATCTAATTAATATGCGAAAGTGACAAAAGGCATTAATTATATCGCATATATATTTATTGATAGTAGACAGGAAACAAGTTATATACCTTATTTATCTTTTACAAGTGTAACCCTTAGAAAAAGGGACGAAATTATTGTAGAATTTCGTACACCAGCCCATTGGCCAGACTAAAACATGGCATCGATGCATGAAGTCCTTGATTGTTTGTTTGAGCCATGTAGGGTGACGTAGACTAGCCAGTTAGGGTCTGCGGGACACGAGAAACTAGTGGTTAGAGACTTTAGGTTATATGGCTTAGAACTGATATCAGTCCCACAGATGTAAACAAATATTATCCTCATCTTGACCGCCATACTAAATCTCATCACTTTTTCATTCCTCCTTCCACTCTCTTATTACTTCCCACTTCTTTTGACCGGTTTTTCTTTCCTTCTTCATCTTCCATTTTATTCTCTTGTTACTTGATGTGATGATATGAAATCAGTCAACTTGGACCGTTACGCAGTTGATCTTAATGATGGTGATGCATCGGTTCAAGTTGTCACACTTCACAATAGTATACAAGGAGCAAGCGGATGGAAAAGTCTGATATCCAAGAAGAGAATATAACGGTTAGTGCAAATACTCAAGCTCTAGAAAATATCAAGGAGTGAATACATCTGCGCCACTGCGACACACCGACCTAATGCGGCTTCACTTAGCGCAACACGTGGAGATGGTAGGCGGTGGTTCGATATACGCAGTACATATCCAAGCCACCCCTGCTGATGAAGGCTCGAAAACGCATCAATCCACTTCACTATCTTGTCCAGTAACCTTCGGCTGAACTAAACATAGCTGACACAGTGGTTCCAAGCCAATCACACTGCAATTCAATTTTCCAACTTCGCCTTTGATTGATCATCATCAATATCATTAATATAAACATAATACTAGGCATTACTGCGTAACCGTCTGGGTTGCCACACTCCATATCACTACATCAAGTAAAAAGACAGTCAAGTGGAAGATGAAGATGAGAAAATTCAGTCAAAAGAAGTGTAATGTACGAGAAGAAAGAAAGGAAGAATGAGAAAATGGTGAGATTCGGTATAGCATCGTTAACATGAGGATAATGTGTGTGTGTGTGTGCATGGATACATATGCGTCACTGACATCGGTTCTCAGCCATATCACCACCCACCTAGAGTCAGTCTCCAACCACTGGCTCCTCTTGTCCCACAGACGCTGACCACCCAGTCTCCATCTACCTACATATCTCAAACCAACAGTCACAGACCTCATACATTCATGTCATGTTTTAGTCTAGCCGCCCACAGCCTTTTACCAGCCTGAATCTACTTCGACCAACATTGTGTGACGAGTCAATTGACGACTAGGCATACGTACACATATCCCAACCATCTTAGTCGATGATGGTTCACAACCATGTCAACTGACTCACCTCTTCTTCTTCCCTAATACTCTACGCCTGACGTCTGCCTTACTCACTTGGTGACACCACGGAATACGGCTTGTACTACAAAGGCAACGGTCGTCAAACACCTGAAGTCTTCTCATATCATCCAACTTCAATGGCCATGTTTCACAACCATGCAGTAGAACAGAGAGGACTGCTGTGCAGTACACGCCACTCTCAATAGACGATCGGATATCGCGGTGGCGCCATAGGTGGGGTAAGTTGGCGAAAGCCTGTCAAGCCTTTTGTATTCGTGCAGAGATTTCATCGGCCACTGGGCTACCAGGGCTGATCCTACTTCTCAGGTAGGTGAAGTGGTCGATACACTCAACCACTTCACTCTCTATTGTTAGCCGAGGCACCGTTGAAGACCAATCCTGGAGCAGCAATCTCCATTTGGTGGTGGTGGTGGTGAGAAACGCATCCCAAACATTCTCAAATCGCCAAATCGTTTGATGATGATAAGTAGCAGTGTAGGAAAAGACAGAACTGAGACGAAGGAATGTTTGTCATTCACATTTTGTACAGTAGTGATGAAATCTTTTACACTTCCCAAAAAAACAATCGTTTGGACAATGTGCTTCATTTACTCTTCTGGTTTTGTCTCGATTTGCTCTTAATACGCCCACATTGCCTCTTGAGTTTCTCTGGGCAGAATATTTACCCATCGCTAGTTATTGCCTATGATTTCTGTTGCCTCAGAATATACTATTTATATCCATTCTGATCAGCAGGGCCCACTACAGTAGGTGTGGATCGATAGGTTCACCAGTTGAGAAACGAATGCTAACTACTCTATTTCAACTGAAGTGATCCGAAATTCTAGAGCTTTTAACTTTTAAAGGGAAGTTACCATTATACAGATCGATAGATCAACATAGAACCTAGCAGACAACCAGATAAAAACAATGTAGGACCTGGCATTACTGCGTAGTGGTTTAAGTTGTCATATTCCAGGTCAGCACATCAAACAAGTATTGGTAATGGTGAATGATAAAAAATAAAACGCTTAAAAGGCGTAGAAAACTGACAAAAGAGACCAAAGAAAATGAAATAATACTGAAATTCAGAATGACAATGACAATAAAGGTAATGTGTGGATACATGTGCACCACTGAGATCGATTCTAAGTCATATCATCTAGGGTCTTCAATCACTGGTTCTTCTTGTCAAGTGGACTCCAAACCCCTAAGCTTAAGTTTCTCCACACGGTCAAGCCCAACTGTTAGAGATTTCATGGACTGATACTACGTTTTAGTCTGCTCACCACTGACCCTTTTTCAGCTTCATCTTACTTCGGTCAACATTGTACGATGAGGTAAATGGTAACTAGGTATGCTTAACACATGTCTCAACTACCTGAGTCGATGGATTTTGAAAACCTGGGACAGAAAAGCACCGATTCAAGTTGTTGCACATCACAGTGGTATGAAAAGAAGAAATATATAGAAAATGTGATATTAGGATAGGGAAATTTGTATCAGAAGACGAAATAAGTCGATGAAGGTTCACAAAAGATCACATCTGTACCACTGTAACCGATTGAGAGCCCTACAACTGTTTTCAAAAAGTTGATTTCCATCATTTTGGGGAACCAGTAGCTGGGGCATCTACAACGTTATGCCCAGTTCAGACCAACAATAAAAGACTATGAACTGATGCCAAGTCTCGATCTGACCACTTTTAGCCTTCTTACAAGCTAATCCGACATCAGCTAACACTGCACATCGAGGGGGAAGAGGCTTGACATACGAGATATGTGTCCGAGCTACATTAGTCAGGGAAGGTTCAGGACATGATCAACTAACTATCGTCATAAAAAACGACAGGCACATAAGTAGGATAATTCGTCCTGTGCTAAACAATATGGGTGAAAAAAGTAGGTCGTCTATAGTCGTAAGCACATCTGGTGCTCGTTGTTTTATAATCATATATTTCCAATATCTAATCAAAAACATTATTCCAATTGAAGACAACTAAACGGATGTTAGAAAGCCATTGGTGAAACATCTGGATATTGTTCATAGACAAGAAAAAGTACACAATTCGACTTCGATAGACACATAAGTATTCCTGTAAATAATTCATTGATAGTCGGCCCACACTAATAACACATAAAGGTATCCCACCCCTTTCTTATTCATAGGTGGAAAGTATGTCTAAAACAAATAGTCCCTTTTGTGAACTTCGGTAGTGTAATTCAACGATGAAGTTTATCTAAGATGTTTGATGTATTTTCACCATATATTCTGAGGGATTTTACCATACACTTACCTGTCATATTTTATCTGAAAAACGGGAATGGTAGGAGGACAAACATGACAAACGCTATAGTAAAGGATGGACAAATAAGATGAATAATGGAGGGGTAAATAACAGGTTTTGAAAATAACCATAATAAGATAATAAAAATGTTAGATGCTTAGCGATAACCAATTACCGACATCTATTGAACTACTCCATAATGCTGCGTTCTATAGCTTGGTAACCACGCTATGGAGTGGTCAAGATGTAGAGCTAGAAAACACGAGCCAGGCTACTCTTCAGCGGTAAGTAATTACGACATAAGATGGAGATTACCTAAGCAAACTAAAAGTGGGGAAAGATTGGTTTTAGAAGCATAAAGGTCGAAACCTTTAAATAAATAGGCGCTGCAGCAGATCTAAGCGTTTTAACTGCAGTTTTACCATACACTTCTGAGTCGAAGAGAAGACAATTTAACAAGATGGTTAGTTCACAGGACGACTACCTGGAAAGGACAGTAATCGAGTATTCCCAATATTAGTTCAATGCACCATAAACGAGATTTATACTTGAGGGTGGTGAGACCTAAATTCAACTGGCTAAAAAAGCAACGAAATTCTCATAAATTCATAACTGCAAGTGATAAGCACATTAATTGATTGCAAAACATATAATAGATGTGTTACAAGGCAGATGTTGAAACAAACATTAAAACCTTTGGTAGAAACTATCGTGAAAGAATGTTTGAAATTGAAACCCTCTCTATATTTTCAAATCCAACTTATTCTCACGTTACAATCACCCTAGTAGTATTTATTTGATCTTTACTATCCGAATTTGTCTCAGAATTTGATACTTTCCTTTTATTGCACATTTAATTCGTTTATCCATCGACCTTCAACCACTTACATTTCGCTTAGAAAATGCATTGGTAAATTAGTATGGTCAGACTGGTCAGAAGGAGGTGCAATCATAACGGGTAAAAGCTCGAAAAATGAAACCACGGTTTCTAGGGTTCGCTGTATATTCTACAGGGGGATAATCTAACATGATCAAATGGAATCAGAAATGACCGTAGTCCACTATATATATATATATATATATATATATATATATATATATATATATATATATAAACGTATCAACAAAGAATGTTGCATCAAACCGGTCACAATGGCGCAGACATATACACCATATTCAGTCTCAAAATTCTTGCACATGTCTTGAACCTACACCTATTCATTCTGTCTCCTCATAAAGTGGTTCTTCAAAAACTTCGCGAACATGCAGTACTGCATGTTTTGGGCACGTGCCCAGGATTGTGGAACTTAGAAACTACTGACTTCCAAGATAAGACGAGCTTCTCGAGAAAGATATTGCGCACCTGTATGAGATATTCAGGATTTAACGCTAGGTTTTTGCCCTAAGTTTCTAAAAGGGGCTATACAGCTGGCAATATTGTCAGCGTACAGCACATGCCATGAAGATGTACCTAACTAAAGTTATGTTTGCGATATGCAACAAAATCAGATGCGGTAACTTTGTACTCTTTTATGTACTACTTTCACTCCCAGCAAAACACACCAATGTTACAATGCAGCACAAATGACCTTCGGACTTAAGACGTACCGAATACCTTTGATATATCGCGCAACCTTCTGATATCCAGTATCCAATATTGATAGTGCGAACGTAGAAAACTGGTAGTTTTTGATCTCTCGCGTCTAGTTCTCAGGGCTTGATTCGAGTTGTTCGGTTCACTCCTGCAGTGGACGAGGAAATTTCCTCTGCTTTCTTGCTTTTAGCTTCGGTGAGGTGGGTGTTTTGTCGGTTAGTAGGTTGTAATTTGTAGAGTGATTGGGGAGCTACGGGTTGCTGGGAAGTGTAGGTAACTGCCGTGACTCCTGTCTGTGTAGGCACCTGAAAGAGAACAGTAAGGTGGTGGTAAAAGAATGAAGAGAGAATAAAAAGAGAAGAAAGAAGAAAAAATAAGGGAAGAGAAAAGGGAAGGAGAAGAAAAGAAGGGGTGAAAAGAGAAATGAGAACGAAAGAAAAGTATTTGGGAATTGCCCGAATGGTCGCGTGGGTTTGGTTCCTACAGAAGAATTAGTAGGTAATGTGGGTGTATTAAGGAGGGAGATAGTGAGTGGTAGTTAGGAGGGAGTTGGAGGCTAGTGAGGTTGGTGACTACCTGAGTACGTCCGTGGTAGTCCATGCGAGGTGACATAACTGTCTAATCGCCTCTTGAAAGAGTCGACTGAAGGAGCTATAACGATGTGTCGCGGTAAGGCATTCCATAAAGCACATACTCTTAGGGAGAAAAATTTGGACCTGAGTGTGGTGTTGGCTCTCTGGTGTGCTATCTTAATGGGGTTTCCTCGTGAAGATCGTTCAGTTGCAGGCAAAATTGATTTGTTTGCATGGTCTGCCTGATGGGCGATCTTGTATGCCATAATGAGGTCACCCCTTTTCCTGCGATAACCCAAGGTAAATAGGTTGAGGTGTTTAAGTCTTTCAGGATACGTCTTTCCCCTTAGCCCCACAACTGATTTTGTTGCAGTTCTTTGTATTCTTTCAAGGAGATTAGAGTCTCTCTTGAGTGTTGGAGGAGCCACCGTATTGAAGACCTCTAGGTGCGGCCGCACGTAGGATTTGAAAATGGTGAGGAAGAGTTCGGGAGTGAGGGCGCCAAGCTGTCTACGCAGAAAGTGTAGAATGGCGTTCGCTCTGGTTGTCATACCTTTGTAGTTGGAGCTGGTGTCCAAGGTGTCGGAGAAGTTGAGCCCCAAATCTTTCTCCATGGACACTCTGGTGATAGCACGGTTGCTCAACATGTACTGGAAGTCGGTCGTACTTGCCTCATTTTTACTGATGTGCATTACTTTGCACTTTTCCAGGTTGAAGCTCAGGCCATTTTCCGACGACCAGAGCTCGAGTTGCTGCAAGTCCTTTTGTAGTGCTGCACAATCGCTTCTTCGTTTACCACCCTCCAAATTTTTATGTCGTCAGCGAAGAGGAGGATGGGTGAGGATATTTTGTCTGGCAGATCGTTGACAAACAGGAGGAACAGAAGCGGTCCTAGGATTGCTCCTTGGGATACTCCTGACGTCGAGGTCTCCACTCCGACCTTATTCTGTTCACTTTAGTGCAGAACTGCCTCCCTTCCAGGTACTCCTTGAACCAAGAGAGTAGGGGTCCACTTATACCAGCTGACATGATCTTGTGAAGCAGTACTGTGGGTGGGACACTGTCAAATGCTTTGGCTAGGTCGAGAAATACAACATGTACAGGTTTTCTATTATCCCAGCTTTGTGTCCAGTCGTCCCAGGCGGTTAGTAAGTTGGTGGCACATGAGCGACCACTACGAAAGCCGTGCTGAGCAGTATGGACAGTGTTTTCCTATTGAGGAATTCCCAGATGGTGTCAGCTACCAGGCTTTCCAACACTTTCGACACAATAGGGAGTAGGGCAATCGGCCTGTAGCTGCCAGGGCTTTTTCTGTCTCCTCCCTTGAAGATGGGTGACAAGATGGCACTCTTCCATTCTTTAGGGAGTTTGCACGAGTCTATTGAGTGCTCAAAGAGGTTGCGAAGTGGTTTGGTAAGCACCTCGGCGCAGTTTTTCAGAACCACTGGTTTCAGGTTATCGCAGCCAGGGGACTTGCCCGGACGTAGCCTAGATAGCTTCTCGAACACCTTTTTCTCTGTAATAGAGACGTGACAGAGGTATTCGTTATTTGCGACCTGGTCGGTGTCGTGGCGAGTCGGTGTGGATCTTGTGTCAGTGCTGAGTTGGGCTTGGAAGTGTGAGCTCAAAAGCTCGGCAATCTCTAGACTGCTTAGCACACTCCCGTCATGGCCTGTGACAAGATTCACTCCCTTACTGGTCGACTTTCTTCTTGACATGAAGCGGTACAGGTTTTTGGGGTTGCTTTGTAACCTCGCTGCCAAGTTTGTTTGGTAGGAAAATCTGTCGTTACGCACTCTAATGTTACAGAGATTGCGAATCCTTTTGTAGTTCAAGAAGTCAGACTCCCTGCGTGATGTACGCCACTTGAACCAAGCCTGCTTCTTGCTCCGGATAAGCCTCTCTGTCCCACGCTTTAACCATGAGGTTCTCATTGATTGTCTGTGTGTTACTTCTGGTACACTGTGACTGATGGCCCCAGTGATTATTTTCTTCACCTCCAACCAGTGTTCATCTATTGTGAGATGAGTCCAGTCCACTGGCCATGATGCATTCATGAGGTAGTCCCTCATGGTCTCATAGTTGGCCTTGCTGTAGCAAGGGAAGGTGTTGGGCGTCTCCAGTTGCAGAGCCTCCCTAGTTATCATGGAGAAGGTGATTACAGCGTGGTCACTGAGGCCAAGGGGAGGTTGGATGCAAACATCCTCAATGAGAAGTTCATCGTTCGTCAGAACGTAGTCAAGGCGCGATGCGTTTCCGTTAGGTCCCCAGCGTGTAGCATCACCCACTTTCTCTGAGAGGCCAGCAGTCTTAATTGCATCCTTCAGCTTCTGATTGAAGGATCTGATGCGTCTCCCTTCCGTCTCGAAGAGGATGGACGGGGTGTTGAAGTCGCCGGCAATGACTACGGAATCGTAATTTGCAGAGGAAGTCGTTAAGATAGCCTTGATGATCATTTCCTTATGTGTAGGGGAGCTGGTGGGGGACCGATATATGACTCCGAGCAGGTATTTGGTACTGTGGAGAGTGAAGTAGCACCATAGGGACTCTGGGAGCTGGGTTAAGGCCGTATCGCTAACCATCCTTGCCTTTAAACAGAGTTTACGTAGATAGCCACTCCTCCTCCTGCTCTATGTTCCCTGTCCCTGCGGAAGAGTTCCATGCCAGTAACATGCATCTCTTCGTCGGAGATGTCTGGCGAGAGCCAGGATTCGGTGATGAATATGATGTCGGAGTGCTGATGTGCACGCAGCGTCCTCATTTCTGCTACCTTCCCTCTTAGCCCCCTAACGTTGCTGTACATACATATTAGAGTGTGCCTGGTGAGGGGGAGGTCTGGTTGTGTATTTTCGCAGGATGAGAGCTTATGTGGTTGGGTCTACCCTCGCCAGTCCTCATAGGACTGGCATTGTTCCGTTTTTTGGTGTTTTGTTATTAACTTGGGTGGGGGCTGTGGCAGTGGTGGCTTCTTTACTTGATGTATCTAACTCACTGGTCAGCGCCTGTGTGACGACCACTGACTCCAGAGGTCTTGGTGGTTGTCGTCTCTCCTCTTGCCTTGTGGGTCTAGGCTTACTTTCACATATACGTATTGAGCCACCCATGCGATCCTTCGCATTATACCATGCCTGTAGAACGTCTGTGAGGGAGGCATATGAGTCGAACTGGACGGCGAGTAGTCTGGGATTGGGTATGGTCTTCAGGTGCGCTGGCCTTGGCAGTCTACTGACGCTGTTGGCCGGTATACTGTTGAGACCAACTTTGGTTGAGAGCCATTGCCATTGTTGGACGTCGTGAAAGTACCGATCTTTGACCGAGCGGTCACTTGGCAATTCTGGAATCCCATGTACAACTATAGTGTTGTTTCTGTTGGGATTTCCAACCGCTGACTTTCTCTCCTCCTCTCTTATTGACCATGGCTCGTCAGGCCTGGCTCGAATTTTACAGGCATTATAATAATATTAATATATTTCATACAACAAAGGTCACACGAGTACAAACCACTTTACAGGTTTGATCATTTTGGTAGTGAGAAATGACTATTACGTAAAATGTTAAGCTATA